TATTTTATTTTGCTTCTAGAGACTAAGAGTTGTTGTTAAAACATGACAAATATCTTTACATGTTGTTATTATTATGGTGTGATCTTCAAGGATCTCGCTTCTGGACAAAAGCTAAGACAGAGAAAGTGGCATCAATCGAATAATCCACACCCCTTTCTCTCGTGTTGTAGGGTATACTTCAGAGTTCAGTGATGGTTATAAGGAAAACATTCTCAGTTTTGGGACCAAAAACCCAAGAGGAGAGTCTCAGGTGAGTCTCTTCAGTCTCTGTTATTTGTGCTCCTCCTTCTAAGCATAACAATGGATAGAATAGTCTCATAATAATTTTTGTAATTTTGCTTTCTTTTCCACAGCAGAAGCTGCAGGCAGTTGGCTTTCTTTCTTCCTGCAAGAAGATCTGACAAAAATAATGTGTGCATGAACTTATTTAGTTGGCAACAGAAGCTGCGGGCAGTTGCCCGTTCTCTCTGAGATTGTTATGTCTTTTCATGTGAATTATTATTATTTCATCTTCAATGTTTGTTGAAAATTTTGGGTTAAAACTTAATGTTTATTTATGATATCACTTTTCTATGTTTTCTTCCATTTCTTTCCATTTGATGGTGCGTTTTAATGAAAGAATTGAATTTTATTCATAAATTTTTATTTAAACTCTTTTGTGTGTGTTTTAATTTTTGCTTTTGTATTTTAAACTCTTGTATAATACTGTGATTAGGATTGCTGTGTAATGTATATCACAGTCTTATAGATAAATTTTTATTTAAACTCTGAATTGTATATACTATATTAATATATATTTTTGCTTATTGATGGTATTTTCTACAAGCATCCTACAATTAAGAGTCCATGAAAAGGTGGAACTAAAGATGACCCAAAGACACATCCTCAGGGGAGGTTTCTCTTATCATGGCTGAAGTAATTGCTTGTTCTGTTGACTTTGATATTCAAGTACCTAATTTGCTGCCAAAGCCAAAGAGTTATTGTTGAAATGTGAAAAACGTATTCACCTGCTGTCATTATTAGGGGATTGTCTTGATGAATTATTTCTTTTCATCCCTTCTGGTGATGTGGAGTTTGTTTCAATGAAGGTCTCAAGAAACTCATCTCATTTTTGGGACC